CTGGCTTTTCGTTCTTTTTTCAAATTTAATGAAGCGACAACTCAAAAATCGAGTATTTTATGCAAGAGTTGAGTATAATTGCGAGACTATTTAAAACTACCCTCTTTTTATATCATTATATGAATTACCTTTTTTCCTTGAAGTAAAGGTAATTTATAGAAGCTACATTTATAGCTATAATTAATTATACGGTTAAAACTAAGATAACATACAAAGATAGGTTTTTGATTATTTTATCCTGTTTTTTTACCTTTAGCAAAATAAACGTCCTAATGTTTTTAAGTAAATGAGAGTTCTAATTTTCCTTATTTATTTATCGTTATCGTCTCTCAATAAATCCCCTAATCTAAATAAAGGCCTAGGAAGTGGCCGCAGATTGACAGATGGCACGGTGCTTGGTAAACGGCGGGAAGCGTCTTATTCCCAGATCCTTCAATCAGATCGGAAGCAACAAGTTTGCCCGCTCTACGCGACCCAGACTCAATCAATCCCCCAAACGCTCTGATATTTCTTTTCATATCAGGTTAATTGTCTGTTTTTTATTGTTCATTTTAGTTGTAAGTCGTGTACTTTGTGTTAATTTACGGATTATTTATTTATTAAATCCTAAATGAGGCTAGCTTGATGGACTGATGGTAGCAATGTACGGATCAACCGGTCGGTAGTTCGGTTACCACCGTATCCAACATGCTTCTAATTTTACAAATTATAATTTTTCCGAAACGTGGTACTTGTCGGAAATCTAAATATTAAATGGGTGGTGGGAATATCGAAATTCCGTCCGGGTCACGAACCACAATCCACAGATAAAAAGCCGTTAAATTTAATCGCGTTTCAAAATAGGTCAACAGCGCATTTTGTATAGGACATCTACATAATCTATATGCGTGTGGGGGCTTTCACCTCCCATCAAGTGAACCCCATGCTTATCTGTCCTCCTCTATCATTAAAACCTTCTTTAAGAAATACTACTTTAATATTGCGAGAGCAAGTCATAATTCCATATCACGGCTCCGATTCCTTCAATACCAATTACAGCGAGATCTTATTTATTTATAGTAGAATTCATTTATTCACACTTAGGATTCGAGGAATATTATACAGAATCCTTTCACCTGTTCTTGTTCCACTCACTAATGATCTCGCTGAGAGCTTTTAAATTACGTTCCTTATAACAATCTGAAGTCGACGTATACAACGTTTCGTTGAGACGCTGTAATGAATAAAATAACATGTCAAGGTACAGTCTTCGTCTTAAATTAATGAGGATTCACTGAGTATACAATTTTACACGTGGCGAAGGTACCCCGGTTCCATTAATTAATATCGAATAAGGCCTTAAAGTTTCCCCCGATTAGAAATCGTATTCGTCGTGCGTGAAATCGCGAAAGGTTTTCCAACTAAATCCTTTTATCAGTTTCGAGTTGTTCGGGGCCCTTGGAAATGTAAGAAAGTTGATTAAAGTTACGGGACTCATGGCCGAATAAATAGAACGTTCATACGTCCCCGTATATTACTTTACGCGTAAGATATTTAATGAAATGTTTCACTTCTAGATTTTACAAAGTTTCGGGTGATCTTGTCTTCAATTTGTCTTCGCCGTGTTGAATTAAGTTTTTGGGGTTCTTTGGGACTTCTAATTTATATGTAGCTTAGTATTGCGAGACCCTACATTCGTATTGTACCCAAAACCATAATTTTTAGTTTTGGACTGACGTTTGGAATAGACGGCCATCTAATAAAATTAATCAATGATGTCGATGTCGTACTATTTGCCCCATGTCCAACAAAGGGGAAATATATTTGGGTCACAAAATAGTTTTATAAATTTTTTTTATTATATTTATATAAATAAACATGTCATGACATGAAAATGTCTTCCGTGACCACGGCTACTGCAAAGGATCCCACACGACGGGCCGTAGTAAAACTACTATTACTATATTTTTCCTAATACAATTTTCAATTCAAAAGTTCTATAAATCTTAGGAAATGTCATTAGGAGGCTGCCTTAATCTACATTTTCCATCTCTGTCGTTCAAATGAAAATCATAACTGCAAGGAAAAGGACAGACGATGTGTCAAACAAATAAAACAAACACTGCGATTTGTCTATTGATACAGCCCTAATGGCTCCGATTAAATCGAATGTAAAGTTTGACAAGTGACAAGTTTTATGAACCGCCGCCATATTTATATCGGCGTGTATCGGCTCCCGCTCGCGACCAACACAAATAGATTCGTACATGTTTGTCTTGGCTCGGTTTAATTAATTTTACCTTCATACACCGATACCTACTGTTTGTCGGGCGTTCCTTAATTGAAAACGCTCTTACCGGAGTAAATGAAACGAAATCCTATTTGCTGGGAGTGATTGAAGCGAATTTATCTTTTAAGACTTTCAAATTTATCTTTCGAGCAAATTAATTCTCGATCGCTCTCGGCCGATTTCGATTTATTAATATTTCGTCCGGCTGTAAATAATATGGCGTCGGCTAATGGCCAGCGCGATAATTACTCATTAAGTATTAAATGCTGCTATTAAATGGGAAACAGCTGCACTGCTGTCCCCGCAGCCGTGGGGCGACTTTGAATTGACACGTCGCAATATCCTCGACTATGTAACGGCATGCATCATGTAACTCGGTATTAACTGGACGCGTTTGGCCCAATATACGAAAAATAAACAAACATCGCTACTTTAATAAAACCCTTTATTTCTCAGGCTGGACGGAGTAACGTTTTTGAATCGTTATTGCTTCGATTATATTTAAAAAAAAATATCTAGAAATCTATAAACGTCTAAACCGATTTTAATGAAATTATTACATACTTTCGTAAGTTAACCTGTAAATATTTTTTTCTTTTTAATAGCCTCTCATTCATAGATATACTACGTTTGAGTGGTCGTGAATTGTATTCCAAAATATATTCTTAAAATAATTTATATGGCAAAACGTTAGCCGGGTGGGTGGTCTATCTTTTACTATAATATCTTATTACAAATAATTTTATCCTAACTCTATTTTATTTAAATCTTTTTATCTAAATGTTTCAAGTATTTATCGAACCAATTCAATTATTGTATAGTACTAAAGCCATCGAATATATTCTAGATAAAGATTAAATATTCAAAAAAGGGAGTAAGTTGGATAATTGGACATAAGAAGCCGAGAAAAACGATATAGCAAATTTAAGCTTTGAATATTATTAACGGATATTACTATAACATAAAGTCTTAATTTGAAACAATTTATTCTGCATAATTTGTTGTATAAATAAGGATATAATTATAGTCCTATCATGTTGTATTGTATCGTATCTCTTAATTACTATGGTAATAACCAAGGACAACATAAATTAAAATCATAATAACAATTAGTCTTAACGCGGATATTTTTAATTTCACATTGTAATTATAATTCAATCTTTTGAGTAATTAGATCTGTCTGTATGATTAAAGGTAAGTTGAAGGTAGGTACATAAGTATTGTTAATGCATATGTAGATTTTATATAATGTACCTACCATGATATTTTTTTATGACAGACGACAAAATAAGGTCGATAACGCATCTTGTGAGACTACTTAACCTATTTTTTTTTTGGATATTCGGAAATCCACAGAGTGTCGTGCAACGCGGTTACACTTAATTTTTAGGAGACGGCGGTTCGTGACCCGGGCGGATCTTTAGTATTCCTACTACTAGTCTAACATGTTTCAGAATACAATATAAATGGATTAGAAACATATTGGAGCCTGCGGGGATCAAACCCAGCCCCTGATGAACACATACAATACATGAGAAAATCAGGATGAAGAAAGTTTCATAGTCCAAACGCGTCACGATTTTGATAGAATTTAGTAAATTGTATATATAATAATTAGAATACCAAAGAGGTATAGTTGTGTGTAGCCTAGAGATAATAAGAAACAAATTTGGTTCCTTGTATCTAACAAATCGAGATTATCACTTTGTTGATGTCATTGCTTAATACATTATCAAAGTTTAACGAGCAATAATCGTGCGCTTGTTAACCGTTACCGCTATCTTAACATAACATAACATTAAATTTAGTATTCTCAAGTGAACCGATAAATTGAAAGCTCTCCTACGATATTTCTCTAATGTAAAAGCTTTGACCGATCCAGTTCTATTTTCGCAAACTCGTTTATCAGAAGGGTTGTATGTATAATGTATATGTTGTCCCTTACATCTTAGTAACGACTCTTATTTCAGAAACAGAGAAAGAAATAAACCGTTACGACGACATTTAGCTTTCAGTAGTTAATAAAGTATTGTCCGTAATTTACGACAGTAGTGCACATTTTAATAAAACACTTTTAACGGTTTAAAATGCGAATTAAAAAAGATAAATAATATATGTCGAGTTTAAAACCGTCAAAAGGGTTGTATTGAAATGTAACGCCGATATAAATTTAACTAAAATAGAAAAAAAACCTGTGTTTTTCTTTTTCTTCAATTAAAATTGTGGAAAATGAGATGAACACATGTATGTATTCAAAAGCTTATTAACGTTTGACAATATTTCCTTAATTATATAATATAAATATATTAGAGCTATGCTAAAACATATTTGTTAGATTTCTTAATAATAATATCAAAATAATAAAATCTACCAAGGCGCTACAATAGATTCTTGTTCATTGTATTAAATAAAAATAAATGTAATTAATGATGGTTAAAATCGATGTATATTAAAGTCGTGATAAATTAAAAACAGCTTCATTAACTATCCGACCCGTCGTTATTGCAAATTAATCTTAAAAGATAGACATAAATACTGTCGCGGTAATTTTTGTAGATTCCCACTGTTACGTCGCTTGCTTGATGTTTTATAGCCTTCCTCGATAAATGCTCTAACCAAAACAGATTTTTCAGTTTAATCTAGTATTTCCTGAGATTAACGCGTTCAAACAAACTCTTCAGCGTTATATATTAGCAATGTACTACAACATGTAATCATCGTATTGTTCCAGAATGTTCGGTTCAGGCGGCGCGTGCGCAGCGTGCGGGCAGGCGATCCCCGCGAGCGAGTTCGTGATGAGGACGAACGCGCCACAACAGCCCCTACACGTCTTCCACATAAAATGCTTCGCCTGTTCTAAATGCGGGTCACACCTCATGCAGGGCGACAGGTAACACATGATTTAATAAGATATCAAATATAAACAAGAGAAATGTGATAACAGATAAGCGTTTAAAAAAAATCTCTTACGGATCAATGAATAAGCCAATAAAATAGTATCTCTAGTTTAGGCGAGTAATACACATTCAAATAAAATACTTTAACGGTTTAAAACGCGATATATAGCAATTAAAGTAATTTAACGTTAAAGTGTTTTATTTAAATAAATATTTTTTAAGAGTTATCTTTATTTCTTAATTGAAGATAACACACAAAGAAGGGATTTTTTTTTTCAGTTTTACGGGGCTAAACATATTGACAGTAAAAGCCCGTTTCCCCCCATGGGCCTTGAGGCGAGCACATGTTTGTGTCCTTGTCACTTAACTATTTTGTTTGCAGGCAAGGCGTTGATTATACTTCTGTTCCGGAAACAAGCAATTGTTTCCCACTACCTCTCGCGCTTAACGCTCTAGGCATCACAGGCAGAAGCGGTCACAGCAGTCACAGGTCACAAAGCTTGACGAGAAAGTTAATATAGATAAATATGTTTACTTCTTCAGGTACTACATGCTGGCGGGTTCCTTAGTCTGCGAACAAGACTGGCAGAAGCTGATGAAGAGTGCGAACGCAGCAGCCCCAGGTGCCCCCGTGCGAAAGGGAAAAGTGGGGCGGCCGAGGCGATCGAGGGAATGAGCATCGCCTGCCCCTGTGCAACACTCCAACAGAGACTTCGAACAGGTACTTGTCTTTACAACTAACTGATAAATAATCTTTATAAGTTCCTTTACCATATACATCTAAGCCGATCCGAATAAATATACTGGTATCTTCCATAAAAATAAACATCAAATAAATGTTTGTCGTTTGAAATGTTTTAATATTTTTTTAGATCTACCTTCTACTGTCTTCTCTCGTATATAAGAGTTTTGACCCACCACGCTACTCCTTGATGGCTTGCTTTAACGATTACCGTCACCAAATTAGTGATGATAACTGAACTTTACGTAGTCTCAAGGATACAAGGGCAACCCCTCTCTACTTTTAAACTCAGGACTGGCTGAATTTTACGAGGATAAATACCGAAAGAACATTTTGCTCTACCAACGATTCGAACCCAGGACCTCGGGGAGCACTAATTACTTAGATTTATATTTTATATTGGAAAAAAAATTACGTCAAGGGCGGGATTTGAATCGGCATCTACAGCGTTCCGTGCTGTGGCTCTAAGCATTTGAAGTATCGTGTCACAAACGCCATCGTCTATTTTGAACCTATTAATATATGCACCTTTTGCGAAAATCTTACGATAGTTATAAAGCAAGTAATTTAGGCATTATCAATAATTCACTTAAGACACTTTATCGCTTATCGTGATTCCCTTTATTATAAATCGTAAACCTTTCACTCGAAACTTTCTATTCGAAAACAAGAAACTCATAAGTCGCGGTTATATTTCCATTTCTAATATCTTAATGTTGACAACGCGATTGTCACTGATGAATGGACTATTTGAGTCACAATTTATCTATATTGGCCATATAAAACAATATTTCTGCTTACATAATTAGCGCTATAACAAGGCATTAAAATTGTTTGTCCGATGAAAATATAAGGGAATATACAACTTAATTTTATCTGTCTCTACTTCAGATAACAATCAGTAATCTACTATTGGCACTCGAAGGTTACGAGACTACATTTTTGGACTAAAACTTGATGATGATGATGATTACACTTGAGGGTAGTTTGAAATTTACTGCACGTAAAAATTGCATATTCAATTTTTAATAGGTACTGTCTGTAGTTTACGCCAGTAGTACACATCTAAATAAAAGACGGATGAAAACGGAGAATGTATTCTGTCTCCCCGTGACCACAGCTGCTGCAAAGCATCCGAAATATCGGGCCGCAGTTAAAAATAATTTTCAAACAAGTCGAACAAATATATATCACGTTTTAAACAGTTTATTTAAATATTAGATCCGGTTTCGATTTGGGAATCCTCTTTGTAGTAGGTAAAATATTATTAATTCACGTATTTTATTCAAATGACTAGCAAAAACTACCCTCATTTTCAAAACATTCAAATCATATTAGCAATGATTTTTTTAACATATTTTTTTTATTTTAAATTGGTATGTGTTTGTTAGCAGTTGAATAAATAAATATGTAGTTAATTAATTACGCCGACAGTACCGACCTTTTACTTGGAAAACATCTCAACTAATGATCGCGTGAAATGTAGGAACACGACCTGACCTTTCATTAATTAATTAGCGCTTAAATCGTGACTGAAAGTTTGCGTTAAGAAATAATTAATCGTTTGCTAGATCAGTTTTATTGGAGTCACATTCTAATATTTCTGTGTCCTCGTGTGTGACTTAAATTAATTAGGAGAAAGACAATACTAGAAGTATAACAATATTTAATATTGACGATCTAATGCAGAGTTCCCCAAACTTTTATGTGTCGTAGGTACAACCCCCTGTAACTAACTGTAGTGTTAAAAACCTAAAGTAAAAACGCACGTTAATTTATACATTTATCAATTGAATTTAAATTAAAACTACTCAAAGTAAAATTTTGTATCACTTATTAAACATATATAATTATATTTTACTTCATAGCTACTTTTATAAATGATGTATGTTGATATTATAAGATAGTATTATGTAAGTAAATAGGTACTATCAGTGTATGTGTTGTGATCTACTGACGTGGACGTGGCTTTTGTCTGCCTATTAAATGGGTGTTAATTCCTTCCGGATTACGAACTACCGTCCATCGTTAAAATATAATCATGCGAAGCGATAGTAAAACCAATGAACTTGACATTATTTTTTTTTAAACGTTACACACTGAATCGTTTAAATTATACAATCTCGTCCTACACAAATAGAAACAAATGTGACGCGAAAAAACCTTATAAATACTCCCAAGCAAAAGTACTAATTTGATTATCAACGGAATGCCACAAAGAAATGACGAAGAAATGCTATTAAGCTGTTCAATGAACAGCGGATTAGTCCAGCTTTGTTTATATGAGTTCAGTGGAGTGGAATACGCGGACTTGAAATATCTTTTTAAATTATTTTCGTATGCTGTATTATATACGTAATACTTAAATTCTCTTGAATTCCTTAAAACCTAATATGCGTTGTATTTAATTGACCAGGCGCACGATTTACAGCTCCTTTATTTAGAATGTCTTATCGTAAACACATAGAGTAAGTAAATATATATAAAATGACATTCAGACTTAGTGGCTTTGGTCTAACTTAACATATAGAAGAGTCGTGTCTAAAAAGAAAAATGTACAAAAATAACTCTTCTTAATAAACCTCGAATCCTTCACGTACACAACATCGCAAGCATAGATAATGATATTTATTAACGCTTTGAAGCGAATTTCTAATTGGCGTACTTCTCGAGGGATAGTTCATAGAGTTAATTATCTCGTAGAGGCGACCGTCGTCCGACCGCCGCGGGCACTGTGGCCCCACCCCACTCGCTTACGGCGCTCACAAAATGCACTGTTAACCAATTCCAAAGTTTAAGTACTGTAAACTTATTTTGGCAACTAATAAAACTATTGTTCAGCTCTTTAATACATTTCATTGTAGACATTGTTAATACTTTATCGCGCCACGTGTAGGCTACTTTGGTTTGTGTTTTAATAAACTTTACGTAGATAATATATAAAAAAAGCTTAAAGTATTTTTAACTCCTGACGCCTTAATTATTCCAGTGCATTATATGCGATGTGGCAATTAAAATTAATATCGGACAGTGTTCGGGACACTTTTATGAAGGGTTGCACCCCTCAACAGGCCTCCAACTATTACTTTGTGCTGGTCAAAGGTGCGAAGTTAATTGGAAAACACCTGAACGTGACAGCACCTTTGCAAACATTCAGTGTTAAAAATGAGGGCTCAAAGACTTGACCGTCCACCTAGCTTTGTAGCGCGATTACTCGGACTTGTCGAAAGTTAATTAAATAACGTTTTTCCAAATTACCCGCTGGGCTCGACATCAAAGTGGCCGCACTCGCTTTGGGAATCTTTTCACAAAGGGCTTTGGCTCGGGGCTAGTTCTGTCTCTCTGATCTCAGCTGGCCTGGACAGGTGAGATCTCCAGTCAAAGGCTAAGTGAGTAGCAAACTCGCTTAAGCGAGCCAACACCGGCACTTAACGCGTTACTAGGAAATTGAGAAAGCGAGTCTAAAATATTCTTAACTCTACGATTGAACCGAGACAAAAGATTATGTAATGTTTCTTCTGTTATGCTGAGTAAATGGCTCGAATTGAGGACACTGTGTAATCGCCCTTCGTGAGATCGGGTCGGGCATCGAACTCGCTACCGTTGCGTGCCGCTAATGGTCTACTCTCGCCTTAATCATTTTCGTGCTAATTACCAGGTTCCAGTTAAAGTAGTTGTAAACAGATTCAGTGTTTAGCGTGTCTGATCGATTACCGAGATCTTTTAACAATTTACTTTTAAAGTTAGTGGGTTTTATGTAAACAGCTTTGAGGTTTTTTGTTAAAATGTATGTATATAACATAGTTTGGAGTATACTCGTTGTATTCATACGTTTTATATGACCCATAAGTTCTTTAGCCGCCTCTGTAGCTTAATGGTTAACATGTTGCCTAGCCTTGCGTTAAGTGCGAGAGGTCCTAGGTTCGGAAACAGCAATGTGTTTTGGTCGGGCAGGGCTCAGAAGTCTGATCAACTACTTCCCTGTAAATGAAACTGATCACTGAAACGGATATAGAGATGTGTTTGGCCCATGCCCCACTACTACTACAGTAAAAAGGAAATATCACATTACTAGAAAACTAGAAACTTAAATTAATACTTAACGACACGATGTTTTGTACTTAGCAACAGTAGTAACGGGGGCTAAAAATTCTAGGCGGAGATAATCAATGTGAAATCCGCTGCGCCTAGCGCCATCTGTTTCCTCGTTTAGTACTTGGAAAAACTATCTCGATTTTAATGATATGATTATTCACCACAGTAGCAGGTGACGTGGTTACAACAAATATAATTCATTTTGCGTTTCAAACAGATTAAGATGTCTTTCTTGTAATTAAGACAAAAAATAGGACATATTAATAGAATCTTTAATAATTGTAGTCATACGGTATAACGTATATAATACATATAATTTTTTTACATATAATACATACATATTTTTATTTATAATTTATAGAGAAACCATTCTCATCAAATTCTCAAAAATACCGCTAATTAAAACCCACAAATCGCATTCGCATAACATGTAAACACGTCCCTATCGACCGCCGTCATCTACAAACATGAAAAAGTATCAACGCTAAAACTGCATTACGGGCAAGGTAATCCGCTTCAAACAAAGTATGTCAAGAAATTAGTATTTAATTTATTCATTGGGCTCCGGTTCGTGTCTGGTTTAGTTATTACGATGCTAGTACGAGGTTTAGAAATTAATCAACTTGCGACAGTGAGGTCATATTTATACTTATTTCGGTTTATTATCGCAACATAACTAAGTGTTATATGTCCTTCAAAGAGATCGATATAAATTAAAAAAACAATTCACTAATTAGTTGACTCACTCACACGTTTAAGTCTGTAGTTTACGTGTGTTACGCATAGTAGTATTAGTCGATTAATATTTTTCATGTTTTAAACCGTTAAGGGTTTTATTGAAATTCAAATCTACGCGATAAACGCACACCATGTTATTGTGGATGCAGGTTCAAGTCCCGTTTTTGTTTTTCAATCTTTAATCGGTTTTTATTTCTTATTATGCCACTATGTGCAATAACGTGTGAAAAATATTAAAGTTTTTAGCATATATTGTTACTTATTGATGCATTACTGTTACTTTTTAAATCCTTGATTGTAATTTCTATAACACGTAGTATATAGTTTTAGTGTTCACAAATATATATTATTGTTGTATTAATTAAACAAAGATTAATTAAAAACAATTGAGTCTCAAAAGCAATTAAACGATTTAGGAATTAATCTAAAATGGGGGAAGTTTAATTATCGGCAATCGTTCACATGTGGGTACAATTTACGTCTCGGCGTCTAATTTAAAATTAATACCGCAGCGCGGAGCTGGAAAATTTGAAAAGTTTCAACGTCGCCAGTGGGGCGGAGGCCGGGCGATTGCATTTTTATACGAGCAAGACAACCTCTTAGCTTATTAGGGAAAACCGGCTATTAGACGGCTGAGATATTCCTCGCCGGTTCCGAACGAGTCCGCTCCACTTAATTAGCTAAATTGATAGCTTGATCTATATTATTAAATAGATCAACCCACTTGAAAATTACATAGCGTAGATTCGAATCCCGGAAACCAGAAAAGTAGATACACTAACATGTATTTTACCGCTTAAATTATAATCAATATTATTAAAACAGAAAGTTCTTGGGAAACCATTAATCGTTTCGGAATTTTTTTTCTGGGAGGGCATAAAAGTATGATGACTAACGGACATCTCCACAAGGGATTTTTTTTTACACGAACCTATATCTTATGCACATATATGTTGCTGGTTTTTTTTTAATATATAATAGGTACTTACCGGACGTTGCTTGTAACCATAAATTATGACAGCTTCAAATAGCTCTTCTACAATAGAAAAAAGTGTTATTACATAACCTGTGGTTGAAACAGTACGAGTTGGTGTATCTTCTCTGGATACCCGAAATGGAGGGCGCATTGTGCACCGTCCGAATCAGGCCACTGATGCACTTATGCCCCGGCACATTTCCCACAGCCTGCTGCGCCGGATTCCGCACACGACAAAGGACATCCGGCCACAATGGCTCCATTAAAATAATGCAAGTAAATGAGGATTTGCGGACTCGAGTTCCCGAATCGCGTTCCCTTCACAATGGCGGGCAGGCCTCAGTCAGACGACGACATGCACGAACATGTTTCATTAGCTAAGTGGGAGGCTTTTGGTGGTTGAATCTCTGTAATGCACCTAGATGCACCGCTTTTACTTAAACGCCGTAATTAAAACGTCCCCTCTTCACTGAGGGCGCAGTCCAAAACTCTGTTAAACTTTGAGTGGCCAATCTAGCTTTAGTATTACATACATTTAAGGATCCGCTTGTGGATTTCGTGTTAGTTGCTTATCCCAATTAGTTCTTGGGTCCTTTCAGTTAGGAATATATTTAAGTATTTTAAAAATAAACTAGCAACATCGCAAATTCTCTGTACCTCGGTTGTAAAACGCGTTGTCTGCTATATATAAATAATGCCTGTCTAATGTGCAAGTAAAAGGTAGTTTACGTAAATGTAGACTAGGTACACGTACGCAGGTAGAGAAAAAACTTCTAATACTGACTAATGATAATTAAGAAGAATATTTCAAATTTTTGAATTGCAAATTTCGAAATTCAAATTAAGTAAGTATAAAATATTTATTTATCGTATACTGTCTATAGTTTACGCGAGTAGTACACATTTAAATAAAAGACTTTAACGGTTTAAAACGCGATATATTAGTTAAACTTAATTGAAACTCAAATAAGTTTAACTAATATATTGCGTTTTAAACCTTTAAAGTGTTTTATTTATTTATTTGTAAACAATTTTTCCAAGGAAAGAAAAATCGTGGACAGGTCTACTAACAAAATCATATTCATTTAAATAAAAGTCAAATACGAAAGAAAGAATATATTAAAATGCTAAATCACGTGAAGCAATAACGTATTGTCTTATTACACGCAGATAGCGGTCTCAAATGAATGACTAACACTAACAGCTACATCTAGATATGAACAAGCTCTAATAACCATAGATCGCTAACAAGCAGAATTGATCGACATTAACGATCTTAATCGTACCTAACAATCGATTCATTGCGTGGCGATGCCCGTTCTCGAGTTAATTTAATTGAAACCGAGTTGAGTAATTAATTAGTGTCGAATGAAAGCTTTCAGTCGGATGAGGACCCCTACTACTGTTTACAACTCATACATATTGAGTGGGACGATGTCTTCGACAAATTACACTGGTCCTTGCTAAATGGCTTTCTTTAGGTTATAAAGAATACATTGAATGGGCCTTTATTGTATTGATTTAAGATGTTATTTATCGTCTGAGAACGAAAGTGCACTCTTACGTATAAATTTGTGAAGTGGTTTTGTAACTTCAACAACCATTTTTTTTAAATTTGACACTAACGGTTTTTTTGTTCGATATAATGACGTTTCGGATGCTTTGCAGCAGCCGTGGTCACGTAGGGCATGGGAAACGTCGGGCCATAGTTTAAATCATTTAACTACTAAATATATCGCGTTTTAAACAGCTAGTGTTATATTTAAATGTGTACTACTCGCGTAAACTACAGGTAGTATACAACGGAATTGAACTAATATTAGCTTTTATTTATTTTATCTAAAATACATTATTTTGTAACGAAACAAATAGTAATTTTATGCTATTTAAAAACTTTACTGCAGGTAGTTTAATTACTAATGGTTTTAATTAGCTTTCGTGTAACACAACATACAGGCATGCGCTAGTTAGAAAGAGATGCACATCGTTTTGACATTACTACGCGAATAAAACTTGGTATAATTTTCGACGAGACTGTGTGTTCCAATTTTAAATTAATATAAGTACATTACATTAGAGATAAAAGAAAATTCTAAATTTGAATTCGTAATCGTTAATAACAATAACCAAGTTCAAATAAAACAAACACAATTTGACGGTTCAAAACGCGATGTATATTAGTTAAATTTATTTGAATTATTAGTATTAATAACCAAATTCTAAAATTAAATAAGCAATAATTGAGCACCGGAAGTCGGTAGTTTATGAATATACATATTCATGCGTCATCTTGGTACACAAATGTGTTTGATTGATTCAGACGAGAGCACGCCGTATCTGATAATAGCATTTAATCCCGCTAAAACGTTACGCGAACCGTCATAATGAATATTTATTCAGAAGTCGGCGCATACTTTTATGACGTATACATATTTTAGTAGCCGACGTAATTTCACTGATTACTTTCTTTAATTTTTCTGAAAACGTTATCTACTGGCTTCTGTGTAGATAGGTGAGTGTATTAAAGCTCGGTAGAGCAAACAGCCGAATGGAACGTTAAGTAATACATTTTATATTCATTACATTAATTGTAAATACGATCAAGTTTTTCTGCGTTATTGGGCTCGCGTGAATTTTTAATGGTATGTTCGAGTGAATTCGGGGAACGTTAGGCGTAAAGATTTTATTAGAGTGTTTAATGTGTTTTTCTAAAGCAAAAATAATGTTTTATTAACTGAAACTCACTTTAAAACTAAAACTTTTAAGACAAAAGTAAAGTTTTAAGTATCATGTTCTTTCATGAAAAGTACACGACGCTTAATAAGCTAGCCCATGGGCTAGATCGTATTTTCAGTGATTTGTCTTATTACGATAATAAATAGGACGAAAATTCTGATCTTTTTTTAATATATTTCAGGTTGGGTAATATTTCATAAAGTACAATAAAACTGCACCTCGCATAATGAAATAAAAGTTATATTAAAAAAAAGTTTCAAGGGAATTATGAAAAAAGTGGAATAATTAGTAGGAAGTTTCGCCTGTCACAGGAGCCATTATTCACGAAGCTTATTTATTAATTAATTAACGTAGCAGCCGCCTCTATGCGGTCTCCGGCCCCAACGGTCGTGTTTACATTAATTTCATCTCGTTAACACTCATATTAAACCCATTAAAATTATATATCTAATAATTATTAAACTTTCCGCTCATATTGCTTTAGGCTGAACTGTGAAAATATGAGATAATCGTTCTTATATTATAATCTGTGGTGATCTTTTAGGACGATCTATGACATGTGAAACGTGATGACATATGAAAGAAGTTTTTTTAAGAATTCACTCTTACTTACTCAATTTTTTATATCATGACAAATAGAACATTATTTAATTTAGTTCATGACACAATTATAAAACACACTATTTAAAAAAATCTTACACAACGCTTTCCGCATTTCCTTAAATACGAACCACAGATAAAACACGTAAAAGGAAAACATACATGACATTTATTGTTCCAACATTAATTAAAGGTTCGATGTATATTCAAATAGAATTCTAAAACAAGTCACACGAATAATCGTGAAAATGCCTACACATTTATTAAATAAGCTCGTCGCCATACCAAGATCAATTAAGATAATTTAAAGATCGTGTTCCGCTCACAATAATTGGCAAGATAATCTTACAATTGGCGAGGTCACTCGCTAATTATAATAGACGCTATTAATTACGACTCTAGAACATTCTTTCGTAAGCTTTACGTGTAAAGTTTTAATTGAAAGTAATAAAATGTTATAACATGTTTTCTAATTATGTGTCTGCTCACATTCGTATTATAATGAGGAATTATGTCACGCTTATCTCAAGAGTAAATATTGATCGCCATCTTGTTACTTGTCAAGTGTCAACTGTCAACGTCAAATGTCAGGCTGACTTCTTTGACATTGATCTCTTATTATAAAAATAATAATTCTTTGTTATTACGAGTATTTTTATTGCCTTTACTAATTTTATAATAAGGTGTGTAAGTATGTAAACAATATGGTAAGTGTACGATCTCGAATAAAAGAATCAATACTCGTTCGTACCGATAGTACAGTGGCGAGTACTTTCAGGCAATCAAATACATTCAGATTTTTATATCGATATTGTTGATTGCAATAAGCAGATGTCTGTATTTAATGTGTCCCCGTCCATTAGTTATATGAAACATGTGCCAATACAAATGATATGGAGGTTTATGAATGACAGACCGGCGCGGGGGTGAGGCGAGGGGCGCGGGCCGCCCTGAGGATGGGGTACACTAATGGATTACATTCGCGCGAGTGAATTAGGATATTGTCGTACGATCTGTTTCAATGCACTCCTTTATAGCCCCTTTCAATCATTGCTCTTGCCCACTGATACTGATTAAATATTTACACGATCTATCCAGACGTGAGAGAGGTAAGCGAAAATAGAAATTAATTTAATTATGAGAACATCACTGAAGCTGACTGACTTGAGCTTGAAAATGTATGTGTTTTGAAACCTGAAATGAAATGCCAGAAACACTTATCACATTTTTAATAGGAGTGCACATTTTAGTGTTCCAAAATTAAATTAAATAAATGTATGTTAATTAGAAATTGAGAATTGGTAATGTTAAATACTGTCTGTAGTTTACGCGAGTAGTACACATTTAAATAAAACTTTAACGTTTTAAAACGCGACACTTACTGACAATCACCCGAAACGTCGGAGTTATTTATTTATTTATTTAAAACAATTTATAAATAAGTTTTCCTACTATACATATATCTAAAAATTTATAAACACAAAAATAGATTTGAATTAAAAACGTTTAAAACACATGTATTTTCATGATGTTGCCTATTCCCCTAATTAAGTGTTTTTTGTCGATTCTAAGAAACACCACAACTGCTACGGCGCTACGTACGTACGTACGCGTAGAGGCCTGATCGAAATTGCTTAAGTGGAACGGCTTAATTAAAAACTGTTGTTGAGTTAATTTCTAGTCCACTTTAATTAATATTATAAGTGAGCACAGAAACATTATGAGATAATTGACTTTTAAATTAGAACATTTATAGGCGTTTGAATTTATTTTATAGAAAAAAATATATCGAGGTTACAGTTAATTACTAACTTTAGCTTAAACAATAATAACTTTATAACTTATTCCAGAATACTCTTTTGACAAAGATTTTGTAGATTGTAATTTTATCTCAACTACTGTTCTCGCCAAAATTACGTACGTAGTAACGTGTCGTTTTTGTGTCTGCATTGGTATTGTTGTCTTTTTTTAGTATTGTCCGAAATAGCTTTATAGTAGGAATATTCTAGATGGATAATTTTAATAGACAACGTTGACAAGATAAT